GGTAAAACACTTGTGACCGATAAATAAAGCGGCGAAGCAGGTGAAATATTTATTGCGGTGTAGAAAACAATACAACATTAAAAGTAGCTTCAATATAAGAATCAATTCACTTCGATAAAGAACGTTGAATACCATAGCAGGGGAATTTGTTTTTGTTGTAGAAAGAAAGAGAAGAGAGAGATGTGGCGGCTAGGATTTGAAGAAGAGAAAAGAAAGGAAATTCATATATAAAATAGTTCTTAATAAATTCTAAATAATAAAATATTTTAAATCAATTAAAATAATTTAATGTCAACTAAATAAATACAGCTGAAGTGACATATGTAAAAGTAAATTATTTTTGCAAAATTTTAATGAAAATTGTGAGTAACGAAATATGATTTGTGAGACTTAAAAAAATATATTAAATAAGAGACTAATGTGAAATTTAAAATTAAATTAAAAGATATATTAAGCTTATTTTTAATTTTAATTATAAATAGTTTGTTTTTTACTTTCCTTTCCTTTCCTTGTTAGAACTCGTTTTTTTTATAAAGAAGGGGACAATCGAAATAAAATAGTACCAAACTAATAGTATGATGTACCAAACCATGAAGCCAATCATTGAAAGTGTTGTATACTTATCAATCACAACAAATTAATAATTATATAAAAAAATCATCGATTAAAAACAAACCTAATAGTATTAAGAATTGCTCTAAAGATAACCCCTCTTCCATGCGAACCGTGTCCCCTACCTACTTAAGTCATTTTCATATTATTAATGCTATTAGTGGATGATAGCTATTTGGGTCTTTAAACATGCAAAATAATATTGTTTTCCTAGTTGAAATTCCTCATGCTTTGGCTTCAACCTAAGTTTAGGTGAATATAATTTGCATTTTTCTTTCTTTATATTTGTGTTTGGTAATTGGTGTCCACATAAATGAAAAGCATATATACTATCTTATCTTTATACTTTGCGATTATTAATTAATAAGGTCAACAAGAGTAGCATAAGCACAAGATTGGCTGCTTTAGCAAAACAAGGGAGAAAGAAACTAGTGAGTCATCCATTGATCATTGTCTTTCTACCTAATGGAGGGTACACCAATCCTATGTTGTAGTATGTATTGTCTAGTTCTATCCAAGTCTAATATGGAGAAGCATTGATAGAGTTGGATACAATTGTTTATGATTCATTTTAATTGAAAAGTTGAAATGAACACGAATATGATTTGCCACCTTTATATATAAATTTTATATTATAGTAATACTTTCATGTTTAGTATGGAAAGACATGAAAAAGAAATAAAGACCATTGTTCATGTAGGTGAGTATATGGACAACTTGAATGGTGAATAGTTGATTAGTCCTCTAAAAAATATTCAAATTTTAGTCCCTATTAATTAAATATAAAATTTTATATTGTGGTTTATCTTTATACTATTGATTTTATATTTTACAGCTGTGTGCGTGCCCATTATTTTGGAACTCATGTCATGATTATCTATACTTCCTTTCTTGTGAATCCAAAAGCTGTCAATCATACTCTTTCTACTTGCAGTTTTGAGGTTGGGGTTGATTATGAGATTTTGGTACATAAAGGTTTGTCTCGTGTGCATAACAAAATATATCTTGGTCGATGTTCTGGCAAAGCATTTAAGAGGGAACTGCATGCATTCAGTTCTGCCAAACAGTGTTACCACGAAACATCCTCACTACTAAATCTAAAATTAGTTGAGTATATGATGTATATCCATTCAATTAGGGTCATAATTTTGACTTGATAGTTTACTTTTTCTAACTTAATTTAAAAAAATCACGAGCAGGTTCGATAGGTTTTTGGCACATCCCATCTACTCATTTTTCTTGTTTATTCACATTGAAAAAGATGTTGACATGTAAAAAATGATAGCCTGGATGTAGAAAACTAGATGTAGGTTCAACGGTTTTACACATCCAATAATATATGCTTATCTTTCTTGTTTATTCACCTTGAAAGAGGTTGATTAACCTATACTTTCTTGCAACAAAATATCTAAGTACATCTTTATTGATGGTATTTAAATGTAAGTTGTTATAAAACTTACATCGAGTAAAAAAGAAAAAATATCTAAGTTCATCTTTATTGATGGTATTTAAATGTAAGTTGTTATAAAACTTACATTGACTAAAAAAGAAAAATATTGAATATATAAGAGGAAAAAAAACAGATATTCTCATTGTCTTCAAATTTTGTATGAATGTGGTGTCAAAGTCTCTTGTATCTTAAATATTTAACTCATTCACATTTTTTACACTTTCCAAACTCTCCAACAAGTAGTAGTATCTGAGTTATGGTTTGGCTCGATGGGGGAGTGGAAGTGAGATCCTACTATGGATTAAGGCTATTGATCTGGATGACTCGCACTTGTGGGAGAGATTGTTGGAACCATGGTTAGACTCAATAGGGGAGCGGAAGTGGAATCCTAGTATAGATCAAGAATAATGATGTGGTTGACTCACACTTGTGAGAGCGATTGTTAGAATTCAAGTGTGATTGATTAAATCTCATGTCAACTAAAAATGGAGAAAATGTAAGGTACATAAGAGAGGTGACTCATACTCTCATTGTTTTAAGATTTTAGATCGATATGTGGTGTTAAGGTCTCTTGGATCTTGAACGTTTAGTCCTTTGACACTTCCGGTGTTCTCCAGACTCCCAAACAAGTTGTATGAAATTCATGTATAGGATCAGTGGGAACAGAAGTGGAATCTTAATATAGATCAAGACTAGTGATGTGGATGACTCACACTTGTGAGATAGATTATTGGTATTCAAGTGTGAGTGGTTAATTAACCTATACTTTTATGCAACAAAATATCTAAGTACATTGTATTTGTTTCTTTTGTAGGCAAAATTTTCAATCTTTTTTCTTTAAACTTTGAAAATAAACAATTATTTAGGTTTGTTAATTAATTTTTCAGGAAAAAGATATAAATGTTATGTTGAAGAGATATCTCTACAATTTATTTAATGAAAAATATGACATTTCACAAAACTCTAGTAGACTCAATATTAGAGAAGAATATTAAAACTATAATTACCACGGTTGGTTTCAAAAACAATGAGGATTAAAAAGAATTGAAAAGGATGAGTAATAGTAAGATGGTTGGGGCAAATAACATATTCTTGGAGAGAGAGAGAGAGACCAAACTCTTTGACGAAATTAGGTGGTCAAAGCAAATGTCGGAGCACTTTAGTTCAAATTATAAGAATAAGGGGAAATTATAAAATTGTAAAAATTAGAAGGGAGTTAAACTTACGAGTCATACTATGAAGTTATAAAAAAGAGTGATTTAACGGAAATTAAGAAAAGAGACTCAAGCTACTGAGAATCAATTTAGTTTTATGTTTGGGAGGTCGACCATGGAAGCAATTTATCTACTATGACGTGTGGTGGAGCAGTATCAATGAGCCAACAAGACACACACTTAATTTTCATTGACTTGGAGAAGGCGTGTGATATAGTGCCTAGAAAGATTTTGTGGAAAGTCCAAGAAAACAAAGAGATTAGGATTGCATATATTCGAGTTATCCAAGATATGTATGAATGTGGTATAGACTAGTGTGTGGATACAGGGTAGAGAGACATGCGATTCCCCGTTACAATAGATTTAGTAATCAAGATTAAACCCCAATCCCATATTATTTTACTTTAGTTTTGGATGTACCCACAGAACACATCCAACAACTAACATCGAGATGCATTCTTTTTGCATATCATATAGTCCTACTTGAAGAGTCGAAGAAAAATTTAAATGATAGGTTTAGACAAAGAGATGAACTTTAAAAACGCATGAGTTTTGCCTAAGTAGAAGTAAGACAGAGTATATGGTATGTATGTTCAACAAAATGAAAAATATTTCTAACCTAAAGGTGAAAGTTGGATATCATGTCATTTCACGAGTCATGTGGTTTAAATATGGTTTAAATATCATGGATCCATAATACAAATTGATGAAGAAATAGAAGTGGATGTAAACCATTGAATTCAAGTGGGGTGACTGAAAAGGAGGAAAACTTCAAAGGTTTTATGTGACACAAATGTAACGCTCAAGCTAAAAGAAATTTTTTGTCAAACTACATTAAGACTTGCGATATTGTACAAGACAAAATGTTGGACGGTTAAAAATCAATACAATAGATGAGGATGTTGTGTTGGATGTGTGCTAAGACCAGACATGATATAATTAGAAATGACAATATTAGAGAATGTTGATATATCACCTATAGTAAAAAAGGATGGTGGAAAATAGACCTAGATGGTTTGAACGTGTAAATAAAAGACCTGTAGATTTTGTAGTAAGGAGACTAGACCAGATGAAAATGAGTCAAAGAACTAGAGGTAGAGGAAGACTAAAAAAATTATGCATAAATTATTTCAAAAAATCTAGAGATTAACGATTTAAAGAGAAACATGGTCTTGAATAGGGCATTCATGTAATAGTCTAAATCCCTTACCATTTGGACTAATCCATAATCCATTGTTTGTCTTCTCAAATCAATTCTATTAAAATCTACAATAAACAATTCAAGTAATAGTGTAAAAAATGCAGCCAACAACATGACATAACACGTTCATACTGGAACTGCAAGCAACTATGTCACGAGTCTGTTGAATTTCTTTATGAAGGTTGAACAAAGTTGTTGATGCTAGTGTTAGCATAGTAGGTTAGTCATCACAACCTGGAGTCCTACCTCTAATTTGCACAGTTATGTTAAAACTACGTCGCAGGGGCTTCTATTATGATACATAGCAGTTACCATTATTATTAACTATTCACCATTTAAATGTCAAGTAAGATATCATATTATGCATATAACGGGAGCCGGTATAAACTCGAGGCAATAACTCTAGCTTTTGCTCACCAAAAAATTTAACAAATGTGAACTTTAATGGGAGCTGGTATAATAAGTATCTTTCTGGAAATACGAAAAATCCCAGAATAACTTTGAACAGCAATTTCATGTTAATTTATACTTTTGAATGAACTCCGGGCACAGGCTTTATCTTTTCAAGAAACTTCTCTGCTTCAATGAAACCAATTGGACCGAAAGGGAAATACTTCATACATCTCCACCTGCTTAAATTCGTGAAATGGCATTTTTAAGTATTCACACAACATTCATGATAAGCTTAAGCACACATATAATAACCAGAAAGATTCATACCTGGGTGTATATGGTAGCGCCAAACAATGGAGGTGTAGGTGGTTAACAGAATTCAGTGGAGGCTGATGAAAACCAAATCTGTATGAAATCATAAGGTCATGTTTTGTTCAAGTACAAAAAGTAGTTAGGGTCAAAACAACCTCCTGCTTTTACTTCAGTAGTTCCAGTGTTCAATTCTTATTCTTGCTTCTCTAGTCATGGTATTTATTAAGTATGTGTCTGGATTCACGTTAGAAAACTAAATCACGTTGAAAAACCACATCCCAAAGCAAAAAAAGAAAGTGAAAATAATGAACAACTATTTGAAGCTTTTGAGTTGATGTGGTTTTTAAACGTGATTTTGATCAAATTGATGGGCATCCAAGTACATAAACATTGACTGATCAAAATCTTGCATATTCAAATAAATTCAGTTTAACATGTTTGTTCAAGAAATTAAGTTAAATTTAGTAAGCTAAGTTTCACGGACCCTGATTTCGTGCCATCAAACAACTCTGCATTCACACATTCAGTCGTATCTGGCCGTCCGATTTTGATCATACGGTTTTGATTTAAAACTGGTAATTTTGGGAAAATCAAATTTGTTTTTTATGAGCCATGCAATCAAGATCAGACGGTTAGTAACAGCTTGACAGCGTGAATGCAGCAAAAATCCAACTGCAGGGGATTCAATTTCAAGTTTCACTTGCATATTCAAAGATCAATATCATATTTTAAAATATGATAATGTGTCTGATCCACGTAGGCAAGTCAAATTACTTAAATGAGCAATCCATCTCCAACCTATCACTATAAGGCCCTTTATGTTTTAACCCGCCTTTTCTCCATAGTTACCGTGAATGTTAAACTTAATGTTCAACAAACATCAAAAAATTAACCCTCAAATGTTTATACATCAGCATAAAGTTAATGTTAGAATATGTCCACATATTCTAATATTTCAAGCACAAAAGCAATCATATACAACATTTTATTACAGCATACAAATAAGCATCCCAAGTAGAAACCATTTCTGATTCATACAAAGTTACTAGAATAGCCCAAGTAAAACAACTTCAACACAACAAACCAACGTGACAGGAACATTTGGACTTTTATACTGGAGTTCAGAATCGAAATACCTGTACTGCTTTGAGTGAGGTGCATCTCTGAGTAATAACATTTTTCCCACATCTACCATATGACTCACTGTGTAAAGATAATCATGAAACTGAACCAATCAGATTTGAAAATCTACATACAAACAAAATAATAAACGGTGAAGTGGTTACATTACAACAGTTAATTTACCCAAAGAATAATCTTCGGTATTTCTCTGAAGATCATTAACAGTAGGAAGGTGCTTCACAGGGATCACTAAGTAATGCCTAAAAATTTCCAAGTTCAAATTGATCACTTTAACAAATATCAAAATTGAAATTTGACTAATTGAAATTGAAATTGAAAACTGGTACTATATTATGAAATTGATAGAGATTGTGAATTGGAAATACCTGAAAGCTGATGGATTAATGTCCCGAAAAGCAACAACTTTATCATCCTGTAATTTTGGATTCAGAAACAGTCAGAAAGGAGGAAAAAGTAACAACGAAAGTGGAGAACAATCGGAATAGAGAGAGACGAACAGAGTGGAGAATCGTATGGGATTTGGAATTGGTCGCTATCTCACAGAAAACACACGATGCTGTTGCTCCAATGGCTCCCACCATTATTTTGCCCTAATGCATACCATAGTTTTGCTTTTGTTTTTGTACAAAATTCATTTATTGAACAAGTCATTCTTTTTTTTCTTTTTTTTTCTTTTTTTTCTTTTTTTTCTTTTTACACTAGGATTTCTCCTAATAATTCAGAACTCTTGTTGAGAGATACCAACACCACTTAAATATTGTTTTTATCAAAAATCAAACTCTATATTTGACTAACTAACCTTTCTTTGTTTCTTAATAGAAACTCGTTTATTATTTGAATCTACGTGTTTGGCTAAACAAGTCATTATTTTATTCTACACACTATAATATTTTTCAATTTAGTTTTTAAACTATATAATTGTCTCAATGCGTGTATAATGTGTGGATTAGAATCTCTTTTATTAAGGTGTCTGAGCTTAAGATCAAAAGATTTTTATATATTTTAAGTACTAAACTGATTAAATTTCACTTAATATTCATTTCACAAGTTAAGAACTCCAAACAGACACTTGACGTGTTTGTTGCATTTTAAGTTTGGTATAATATTAAAATATATAAAAATATTATATCTCAGTATAATGTACAGTGACTGATCCATGTATCATCTTGATGCAAACACATTGGTTATTCTAATTTCACAGTCAAGCATGTAATCTTTGTCAAAGACTCGAAAAAGGAAAATCTCATTACTGATGTAAAAGATGATACATTGAGTTCTTGCTCTACTTGAACTTTTTAGGAGTGGCTCGTCATTTATGGTATTAAATGATTCATCATTAAACACGATTGTTATATGGTTACACCATTGTCATCTTACAACATTTGTCTATTATGTGAACTATTCTCCCAATTCCATTCTTTACTCTCATCAATCACCCCATCTTTGATGATTACTACCTTTTGACTCTTTGAATCATATTTTTGTTATGCTCTAGTAGAATGGGAACCAATTAGGATCATGGAATAACTCATATGTGTTCTTCTGCTTTGCTCAAGCACTTGTCTAAAGCACTACGAGCAAAAAAAATTCACAAGTACCTGACACTTGGATTTCTTGCTAACCAAGCTTTATGAGGTGTGACTTCAATTAATTTTTTTTTTGTTGGACTTCAGTTTACAATGTATGCAACATTTGATATTATTTCACCCCAAAATTTATGTTGCAGTCTCTTTTTTTTTATCATACTCCTAGCTATGTTGAGTATAAAGGAACACAGATGTGTTGAAGAGTGTATGGAGCATTAATCGTGTGCTTAATCCTTTCGTCCTTACTTAATTTAGCAAATTATATGGAAATGTGGTCACCACCATCATTTGTTCTTAACACCTTAATGCAATGATCACTTAATTTTTCAACCTTTACTTTAAATTTCTTAAAGGAAATGAACGCAACACCTTTCTTCTCTATTAGATAAATAAACATGTATATTGTGTATTCATTAATAAAGGAGACAAATTAATTATCACCTCTAGGAGATTTGTCTTCTAATGGTCCATAGACATTTGAGAAAATCATCTCCAACTTGTATTTTAACTCCATGTACAAGTATGTTTGAATGTTTTTCTAGCTTGCACACATTTGCTTTGGCACATTAATTTAAAGCAAGTCATACACCATTTTCTTTGCAGTCAACATGTTTAAGCTCCTAAAACTCAAATGGCTATATATTTGATGTCAAGCCCAACTTTCACCAAAAAATATTGACGCCAAGCATTGATTGTCAATGATATTTATTTCTATCTTGAAATTGTTGTTGTTAGACGGTGGTGCTTCCAAGATAAGTCTTCTAGTTTCTTCAAACACCTTGATATCCTTCTTCTCCATCTTCATTGTGTAATTGCTTTCAAGCAAGTCTCCAATATTTATCAAATTGGTTTTAATGCTTGGCACATTTAGTACCTCATTAATCACAAATTCATGAACATCCTTCCTTTATATTAGAACCTTGTCACTTTCCTTTGACATTACTTCACGGTTATCTGCAAGTCTGATTTTCCTTTGTACTATTTCATCAAATTTGAGTAACCAACCCTTATTTCCTGTGGTATGATTGTTGCATCTTGTATCAAGATACCACACACTAATTTGAGGTAAGGCATACACCATTTTCTCCGGAGTTAACACGTTTAAGCTCCTGAACTCAAATGGCCATATGTGTTATGTCAAGCCCAATTTTCACAAGAGAATGTTGATGCCAATAATTGATTGTCCATGACATTGATTCCTATCTTGAAAATTTTGTTGTGGCCATATGTGTTATGTCAAGCCCAATTTTCACAAGAGAATGTTGATGCCAATAATTGATTGTCCATGACATTGATTCCTATCTTGAAAATTTTGTTGTTAGACGATGGTGCTTTCAAGATAAGTCTCTCAATTTCATCAAATACCTTGAGCTCCTTTTTCTCCATCTTCATTGTGTAACATCTTTCAAGCAACTATCCAAGACTTATCGTATTAGTTCTAATGTTTGGCACATATAGTACCTTATTGATCGCAAACTCATGTCCATCCTTCCATCGTGTTAGAACCTTGCTAATTCCCTCTGACATTACTTATTTGTTATCTGCGAATTTGATCTACCTTTATACTATTTCATCAAATTTGAGTAATCAACCCTATTTCTTCTCATATGGTTGTTGCATCTTATATCAAGATACCACTTATTTGCTTTATCTTTATCAACTTTTGGGGTTGTCATGAAAAGTATGCCATCTGGATCACTACTATCAGCATGAGAAAATTATGCTCCACATTTGTTATCATCATTGATCTCCCTAATTGCATTAAACTCTCTTGCATAGTGACCAAATTTCTAACAATTGTAACTCTGTCCTTATATCTTATTTGTCTTAATGAAAATCTTGCTATTTAAAGTGTTGCTCTTGCTCAATTCTCCACTATAATTCTTAGAGTTCTTGTTAGAACCTTCAAATAATCCTTTCTTCCTCATCCAATTCTCATTTCCTATATTGTTTCTTGATTCGTCGAGTTTGTTATTTTCTTCATCTTGGTTTGGAGGGCTTGTTATGTTACCTTATCTGAGTTTCCTTGCTTTAACCTTAACTCCAGTACTTCCAATGAGGCTTATAGATATTCCAACTTCATTTCAGACAAAACCTTCGATTCTTCAATAGCAACAACAATATGATCAAAGTTTGTAGTTAATGTCTTCAATGCCTTTTCAATCTTCATCAAGTCACTAACCTTCTCACCATATGCCTTCGTTTGGTTTTTAGTAACATTGAAGAATTTTGCAACTAATCCACTTTTAGTTATTTGCAGAATTTCGTATTGTCATTGCATGGCTTAAAGCTTCACTTTCTTTCTTGAGCTTTTCATCTCCACTATATGCCTTCTTGAGTGCGTGCCTCCTTTACAATTTCTTCTTCAATTATCTTTTCAAAGATATTTGAATCCATTCATGAATCAAAGAGTCCATTTTCATCTTTCTTTTTGAATTCAAATGTATAGCCTTTAGTGGCATTGTTGCCTTTTGTAGCATTGTTTTCTAATGCACGGATGCCATCGATCATGAATTTCAAGACATCTTGAAGCTAAAATATGCTTTTCATTTGTGCACACCCTCTCTCTTATGCACAATCTCTATCATAATTTTTTTCAATAAAATTTGCTAAATTAGCTGGGAATTGATTAAATGTTGCATTCCCATTTGCTATTGATGGATAGAACGAACAGAGACTCTCTGATACTTCAAGAACAACCTTTGTTTAAACAATTAATTGAAAGAGTGGGGAACTGATAAGAGAGAATAGCAAGGACCAATTTTCTTTCATATTGATCATGTATTAGCATATACATTTATACTAAGTCTTGTAACTAACTTGTCTAACAAGTTTCCTTTTGATTACTCCTACCCTCGTGACTAATATGTTTACAATTCAGTCCGCAATTGCAAGGACATATGATAGCAAACATACAAACTTGAACCAGCGACACTCCACTGGATCACTTTTAAATTGTGAAATTTTAACCATTAGTATACTAGGCTACTAAGAAAAACTTAATTTCTTTAATATGTACCAAGATAAATAAGAGGAAACCAAGAATTTTAAAAAGAAATTACTTTATATATAACCTTCAACTTTCGATCAATCAGCTAATAAGTGAAAACATTCCTTTTTTTTGTCTTGAGTTCGCAACCATAACTTATTTATCCTTGGAACAAAAATAAATAACAAATCGAATGCAGTCTACTTTTAAGTAGAAAAAGTGTTTCTCCACGTTGATAATATGATATATTACAAAAAGATTTACTCCTACAACATTAAGTTCTTATTAAGTTGCATGAGACGGTGCCAAGCTACAAATGTATAAACAGTGCCTTGGCTTGTAAAGGAAAAGAAAGTGAACAGATGCAAAAATATTTCCGCACTCAATGTTTATTCTCGGTTGTTATTGTCACTATGTACTAACTACAAGCAACAAACCCAGATGAAAATTACAGTCATTGGGTAAGAGTGAACTTATATGGTTGGGCAAGGACAACCAACGAAAAATAAAAGGAACAATCGACAAAATTGGGGGGTCCAGCAGCGGCAGCAGTGTTGACACAGCAGAGTGCAACAGCATGACAAAATACTACAACAACATCCTAAAATGTTCTTATTTCATACATTTTCAGGGCGTAACAAAAGAGGAAAACAAAAATAAGTTAAAAGTGAGGATACCACTGGCCCAAATATTGTAATTCCATCTAACAGTACAAAATGTTTTACCTCAAGCATGTAAACAAGGCAAAACTGCACCGGCTAACTATGATAGAGATGTGTATACTAGTATTTTTTTATATCCTGCGGATGCCCTGGGGTATCAGTAATTCTTCATAGTCACCAACCAAGACCTGTTTCAAATATTCTAATTAGCTCATATAACCAACCAGATAGAAAAGGCTTAAACACTACCATAATTTTTAAACGGTAACAAGATCAACTGCTAATACCTTGTGTTGATTGCTGGCATAAGCATATTCTACATATAACAGTTTGTGCTCTCCTGGACAGGGATCACAAAAGCCCATGATTCCTGATTTCTTTACACCTTCGTGAAGCTGCATCAACAAATAGGACATTCATCACACATTATTTAATGATAATACTTGCAGCCGCAAAGGGGTAACTATGTGTTCTCCCAAAAGCTAATTTTGGTGAAGTTACAATCTTGCTTCAAATTCAACTATATCATTCAATAGGAATTCGCTTGATCAGTAACTGATCAAAATTCAACATGTAATCCATACAAGTAGTAACTTCTAAGTAAATTTTCTCACTTGAATAACCTTTCAAGTAGGTTTTCACAGCTTCAGAGTTGAGATAAATGCATTGATCAACAAATACATGTATTGAATACACACTATTAGGACATAAATCTCTTTGATGTAAAACTTATGGTTCATAAATTTAGCCAGTTCAAGAAATTAAACAGAAAAACATAACTTAACTCTATTATTCCATTCCATCCTTTATATAGTGCAAGTAAAAAAAATTGTTGGTTGAAAATTATCAAACTTTGTAATTAACAGATGTCTAGAATAACTTTTGAGAAAAAGTGAGGAACCATACCTTAAGTTGACCAGAATCATTAACTAGAAAGTTCAGAGGTGTTGTAACATCGATGACTCCTGAAGTAGATTCAAAACTTGTTTCATTTGACGAATACAAGTTGTTCAAAATTGTATCACTTCCATATAGTGCTTTCATAATAACCAGTCCATCCATTTCTAATTGCTTGTTTCTTTTCCTATTAGCCACATTTTGTTGTAATTTCTGAGCTTTTTCAGCTGCAGCCCTTCCTTCTTGAACCTGCACATATATTTGCAACCGGGAAAGGAGAGGAAGGGGGTGTTAAGCTAACTCAATATTTACATTCATTTATATTATATGAATGTAAAATGAAACAAAATACTAATCAAGCATTTAAATAATACACATGTCTCTACTTAGTCTATTCTATCAAGATTGCTGCAAAATTGTACGACACTTGTACGACACCCGTATGACACGTGTCGGAAAAGTTTTTTTGGGGTCATTATACCAAGGAATTCATGCACTATACCATGAATTAACAAGAAGCAGAGCCCAAACTATTACAGGTGTAAATGAACATAGTTATCACACAGGAAGAAAATATAGGATGTCTTACATGAGGAGAGTACAAGTTACACACCAGGAACAACGATACTTGGTTAATAGCACATTAATCATCCATACACCACTACCAAAAAATATAGTATGGAATCCTAACACAACCACTTGGTTAATAGCACATTAATCATCCATACCTGAGCAGAACTTTTCCCCTCCTTCTCCAGAGCCTTCTGCTTATTCCTTTTAAGGTAATACGGTTTAATGAAAAAATTCTGCAAACACAACTTGAATATTAGATGTGCATCTATAAACAAAACAAGTTATTTATATTAGCTACAATTTTAAGGACATATCAAATTGTTCAATAAACCAAACAAGCACGTCTATCGTATTAGCTAAACAATAAGTAGTTATTTTGATTTTTCCTTTAGTTTTTCTGCACCAGAAATTTTTTTGGTAAAAAGTGGTAAGAGGTGATCAAGATTTTTTAAACTAATGGTAAAACAAAATACAACAGAAAAGAATATAGATGTAAGCAGCAAATATAGCTGATAACCTTGTGAACTAGACAAGGTACACTCTTAATTTAGAGAGGAAAAAATATTAGCAAGTATGCAGCTGGCTATATTCTTTGATGATGTAAGTAATGCATTTTTTTGTTCCCTGTGGAGATCATCGCAAGCATATAATTTTTGTAATTTGTGTTAAAAACTAAACTCTAAATAACCACAATTCACAACAAATTAAATTACCATTATAAATATGACTTTCAACGGTTCCTTATGTTAAGAACGACAATATATTTATTATTAAACTAAGTCGGCCTCGTTGATAATATCACCCTGCTGATACTGATAGCTTTTTTGGATTCACAACTTTTTCAGCAAAAGGAAAATTATGGGATCAAATTATCAGTGTTAAGAGGAAAGCAAGTGAAAATACTTTCCTCTTAAAGATACTAGCAATAACCTGAGTGTAAAATATTTAAAGCTATTCACAAAATAAATTTCCAGACAGCACTGACAACACTTAAAACTGTTCATGAGTTGGTTATCAATCTTAAGATAATTTGAATTCACCTTCAGAATTAAGTAAAAAGATGCTGGAATAACAAATGCTCCAGTAGCAAACACGGGATTCAAATAATTCGTCAGCAAAATCTGCAAGTAATAATACATAGAAACAAAGTAAGTCAAAGAGGAAAATTAAAATGCATGAATATATAATAATAATAATAATAATAATAATAATAATAATAATAATAATAATAATAATAATAATAATAATAACAAGAACAACAACAACAACAACAACAACAACAACAACAACAACAATAATAATAATAACAGTGTTATTTAAAACAAAAATAATTAAAAATAAGCCCCTCAACTAAAGAACCTAACTCATTTCTTATAATCGGTTATATTAGCTAATCTAAGAAGGCACAGCGCATAGTTCAATTTTGACAGGATTTTAGAGCATATCTTAGCAATCAAAAAGAAATTACACACAAATCATCATATATAAAACATCTGAATAAAAGTCAAATCAAAAAATGTTGTCTAGCATCTATCAGGTTAAACATGTAAAGAAGACTCTTCTTACAGGAACAACCAGCTTCTGACCCCCACGATAGAGTTCAAATCTCCAGGAAATACCCTGAAAAGGTTAAATAAAATGCATGACAATCTATACAAAAAATCATTAACGAAGTAAGAAAAAATAACATTTTGTATTAAACCCTATAGTGAAGGGTAGGGAGGATTATGAAATGGAATCTTTAAGTTTCCATATGTGGAAACAAGGAACCGTTAATGTGGCATAATAAAAACATAATATGGTCTAATTCAGTATTTGAAATTTTGAATAGGGTATTTTAAGAGAAAAAGTGGTTTTTTGGACCATTAAGGCTTTATATGGGAGTTTGAAGGGGAAGGGAGGGGATGACTTCGAAAAAAGGGAAGGATTGACTGAAAAAAAATAAAAGGATTTAGGTGGGGAGGGTTTTGGGAGATTTATTTTTATTCAAAAACTAAAATCCCCCTAATTTGGGGGAGCTCAAAAATTGTATTGGAGGAGGGATTTGGAGGGTTTTGGAGGGCTTAGACAAATTGTTGGAATATAATTTATGTTATAGTATTCGAAAAATTAAAAGTATGTTAATGATAATCACTCTTTTATCATTCTAAACAAAACATATTTTTTCAAAAAATGTTGAAGATTTCACTATATTTCTTAAAAAAACCTTTTTTGAAGCCTTCCCTCCACCTCCCCTCAAAACTCTCAAACAAAGCCTAAAAGTACCGTGTCCCCAAATAACTTGTGTTTGATGACTGGATCAATAACTTAACAAACTGCGTAGTATTTTAGCAGGGTATTTTAACAGGTAGAATCCCAGAAATCATACCAATCTCTTTAGCTACTTGGTATGGTGAGGAAAAGGGGAGTGAAAAGGCTAAGTTAGGTCCTTCGTCCTCCATTTTATGTTTTCTTCCCTACAATACAGAAGACGAGTCCTCATTACCCTATACGATGGCCATATTTTTGTGCTTCTGTTTAATTCTTTAAGCTGCTCAAACAACATGGTGTTGAAAATGGAAATTTGGAATACTGTATGAAGATTGCTATTTTATAAAGGGTAATGCTAACTTGTGCCCTAGGGGCACAAGTTAATAACTAAATGTAGAAATAATATTTTGGAAATTCTGCACTGCTTTTAATAAAAATAAAAAAATTTAACTTTTTATTGATATTTTCAATACAAACTTTCTATAAATATGTTTCTTAACTTGTGCAGCATTACCCTTTTATAAATTGTGTAAGTGGTGGTCCTTGGTGTTTATATGTAGGCATGTTTTTTGGGCAAGTTGACATGCAGATTTAAGGTTTATGGGTAGAGGCTTGAAAGTTCGATGTCAAATTGTTTGGTTTGAATTACATAACACGTGCATTTCATGCCTAGAAAGCTCTAGCATGAGGAAGCCTGTTATAGATGTTACAGAAGTATAAAACCATTAACATACACCACTATTTATAGGTTTAAAGTTTTGATACTGTACATGATAGCAAATTAAATTTAAATTGTACAGCTAATATAAGATTTTCACCCTAAGCCTAAAGTAAACTGCTTTAATTAACCACATAAAGGATGACATGAATTATAAACATTGATAGTAGTAAAAGAAATCACTAAATACAGTACCTGAATTCCTACTACATACAACCAGCGCACAGTACTGAATTTTGATAACTTCCTTCCACCACCAACTTCCATCTCAATGGAAGAACTAAAAGTTTAAATGGTTTAATGTCAAAAACAGATAGCATAAAAAAAAACTGAATATCAATGAGTGACAAAAATATATGGCGAGTACCATGGTTGTCAAAATCTAGATTTAAATCGTGAGATCTTAAGATCTTACGAGTTTTCACCATGCTCCGCGGCGGAGCGCAGCAAAGATCGCTGGAGAAGGCGGCGCGGTAAGAGCGCAGTGTCAGATCGTAAAAACGTTAAAGCGGAGATCTATTTTGCAGTGGAAAATTTGTCCAACCCGTTTTGACATGACCCGGTCCAATGATCCATTAAAGAAGGGGACCCGTTCAGCTTTTTCTACCAGCCGTTTCACATTAAATTAGCCGTTTTTCATCATTAAAAGTCAGAATCTGTTGCTATCTACAAGGCTGATTTTTTGGGGGGAAATTAAAAATCAATCTGAAAAATATCAATTTATTAAATGATAACATTTATTCTTCTTCAATTTCATCTATAAATCAATCATACGATTTATTTTCAATCATCAACTTCTTTTGGAATTTGGAATGTGGTTTTTATTAATTTAAAAAAAAATGTTAATGTTTTTTAGTGAAATGTATAATTTTGTATATTTTGTAGGATCTTACGATCCGATTTACGATTTTACGATTCACGCTTTTTTTAACCCCCAACGATCTTTAGTGAGATCCCGATTTTGACAACCATGGCGAGTACAACTAGCGATCATACAAAATCAGCTCTAGTAATCATCAAAGAGTAGAAGACTCAACTAAAATTAGCATTCAAGAGATTCTACTTGCTGTTTATGGCATATTTCAAACCATTATAAATATTCAAATTTACTGCTTTCATTATTTTCCCAACCAGGTGGGGCACAGGACCAGATGATGCCATAATAACCATCTGTCAGACTATCACCTATATTAATTTAAAAGATGCTATACTAGTAAATTTATTTCTGAATCTTTCTTAGAAGTATGGAATATAGTTTTTCTTGGTCACCTCCATTTCTCACATTGAACTATTCAGTCTAAATATCATGTTTGGTCAACTCTCCTTAGTAGCACTTTGATGGATCCTCTCCACATATGTCAAGCCACCTAAGAGAGACTATATCATCTTTTTTACAACTGCAGCTAATTCAATTCACAATCTTACTTTGTATTGTGTAATCACTTATTCATTGTAATGTTCTCATCTTTGTAACATTTTCAATCATTGATGACGAGAAAACGCATCGGTTATATCGCTAGATTTCATTGACTTTTATCGCGCATTCACCGTTTTAACGCTCGATTCCTCGAGTTTTTCTTACTATTTTGCAGGTACATCGTTATGTGAGGTCAAATCATGAATTAAGAAAAAAAGAACAAAGAAACCACAAGAAATGAAGCAAGACAGAAGCCTGCATAAACTCTGCATAATTTGTTACGACCACGGTCGTTACAAGGGTGTCACGACCGTGACACCTTACTTTGGGCCATCACGACCGTGAGGAAGTAGTCACGACCGTGACACTTGAAATCATCAAACAACGAGCGTGAAGACCTTGTCACGCCCGTGACAAGGATATAACTTGATTTTGACTCAGACTACGTCAAGCCACCAGTGAAGCCCACTCCTCCTAGTAATTCTCCTCAAGGCAGCACGTGAGGAAGACTTCTCCCATTTTCTGCTGCCACTTTCCAACATTTTCTCAACCACTTCAGCAAAGCCCAAGAAGCAAAAGACCAAGGACCAGCCCATTGGAAGCTCTATAAATAGGACCAGCTCAGGAGAATTCAGGGAGAGACTTGAGTATCCAAATTTCCTGCGGAAGCTCTGCCGAATTACCTTACCATCAGAATTATTATTCAAGCATTTTATTTCCTGTCTTATTTTATTTGTATCCAAACCAACCGTGTAACAATTTCCAACATTAGGGGATTGTTATACTTTTATTTGTTTCCAGCCTTCAGCATTCGTTTTAATTTTTATTTCCGACTACTCCAAGCCTTCCGGTCGGTGGAAGAAGGAATCTACTCAGATATTTGTTAATCAGGTTTTTCAGTTATTGCAATTTAATTTATTTATAATGTCTGTTTATTTTTCTGCCATTAGTAAGTCAATAATTAACTCTGAGTCTGATTTAACCTCGATGAGTAGCTAAATACCTTAGGGCGGTATGTAGTTATAACTAACTTAACCGGTAAAATATAACCATGGGCTAAAATAATTAATCGCTTAACATTCTGGCTGATGCTTTTTAATTGAATTCGACCTTTTCGTTACGAGAGTAAGAAAAGGGTATTAGGTTGGGTCAAGACCACGAGAGTGTGAGATTTTAACCAGATAGCTAAAGTTAAGCATTTAAATTAAATACAGCGAGAGCGCTTTAAGATAAATTAGAATTATTTAGTTTCCAAAAATTACCTCTAAACACTTATGGGCTAGCGAGAGCAGGCATAGGGCTTTAGGGATAAGATCTGATTCAAGACCACGAGAGTGTGAGTTGAGGGTATTCAAACTAGTAATCTCTACCGAATAGATTAAGTGAACATCTTTATAAGCCTAGGTTAGATTGACCCACCTAAGTTAGTATAATTACATACCGACCGTCTTAGTATTATTTTATTAAAAACTTAAATTTAATTTCGCCTTCAATAGTCTTAGAAAACCAACAACAATCGTGACAACTATTCGCCTTAGCTAAACTAGAAGTTCATCTAGCACTAGGTAACGATAGAATCTCTGTGGATCGATAATCTTAAATATTACTTCGATAGGCTGTGCACTTGCAGTAAGATACCGCTAGACGCATAAGTAGACACGTCTGTAGCCCATCAATCATGAACCTTGTGGAGTTCTATACTTCAATTTTCACCTCTACACTGAAATTTCTGTCTCCTGCTAAATTTTTGTTCTATATACTCTATTACACTTCAACGTAGACAAAAGATGTATCTTCCAAACACCTTTTTCAATATCTTAAAATTTGATTTATTTAATCTTTCGACGCTCCAAGCTCCAACACTACCGTCTGCAAAAAGCAGTCATCATGACACCGTCTATCTCATTTAACATATAATATGATGAATAAGATTCCTCGATAAAGAGATGTTTAATAAGATCACTGCTTTAAAGAAACCAACTGCAACAGCTCAACACTTTATCCTAACCATCCCTTTTCAATTTAAATTTAATCAAGAGAAAAAAAATATACCCTCTTTCATTTTGATTCCAATGTAAAAGAAAAGTTTATTCTTTGACCATATCAGATGCCATCTTTTATACCTTTGCAGGTTGTTACCAAACAAGAAAATAACCCCCCAGAATAAAAGGCGAAAGAGACAGAGGTGTATGGAACGTCACTAGTTGAGGAATGTCACTAGTTGAGGAACCTCATATGATTCAATGTTAAGGAGAACTGAAATAGGCAGCCATTCCTAACCAATTCTGTAAAGGAGATGTTGACTAGATGGATCAACTAACCCTGTTGACCTTTAAAAAAACATGATTCCACAATGGTATACTATTTCCTCAAAATAAAAACAAAGAGGAAACTTGAAAACAGACATCCAAACTAAACTTTCAGCTAATCAGATTTTTCATACCTCCCAACTCTTCCTGCAATGCAGCCATGAGATTTAGAAGAAAATCGATGAGTATAATGAACTGATGTCTCAAAAGAACCTGTGTCGAACTAAAAGAGATGAGAAAGAATTTAGTATAGGAAAAGATGAAGAAGAAAAAAATTGCTCTATACAAATTAGCAAGACTTAAGACCACTATTGAAAAGATGGAAGCACATGATCTGTCACTTTTTTCTCTCTCCTTTTTAAAGAGTAGAATAGTGAATCATACTGGACAGATTTTAATAAACAGGGTAGTGAATTTCCAGTACAAAACTACAAATGACTGATTATCATAGATTATGCAGAAAACATTGAAGTACCTTCACTTCTCCAGAGGCAGTCCTTCTCTCATCTTTTTTCTGCCACCCTACGGCTACAGATGACTGTGATCCCAACAAGAGTTGTATCTGAAATACACACAAAAAGAAACATATCACAGATAGAGGATATTCCAAAACTGTCTCATAATGCTTGCGGCAACAAAAAGCCCAACTCATCAATGCTTTGAAATTGCCAACACTTATATGACCAAATTCTGGCACAAATTAGTTAAAAAGAGATTTGGGTATTTAAAGTACCAAAGATACAAACTCTGTTGATGCTCATCTATTACAAGATCAAAAAATATATCCCCACAGTTAGAAGTTGTAAAACATAAAGACAGATTATTCATTTGTTCCCTAGAGTTGGTATGTTGCCTATACAAAGTAGATCTTGATTTTCTCGATGAAAGCCAGATACAGATGCATCTCGATATCAACAAATTGTGCAGTTAAATTGATTAATCTAATATTTATCGTTAGCTCAATCTTACTTTAAGCTGATCTATGCATTTCCACACAATGTTATGTACAATTGCTCATGTTATGCTGTCAACCTACATTCCAAGTTTTTATCCGTGTGCACTAGATATGACGACACCATAGATGAGAAAGAAAAGTTCATAGGATAGAACAAATTACACTTCCGTTTGTTGTATCTGACAGTTGGCGGGTCCATGCATTAGAAAGATTCCATGAACCATCTTTCAAAGACATTGTTAAGCCTGCTGTTGCAGATGAGTGTGAGGATATAAGCCTGGGACATGAACAAGAAACATATAGACCATCACGAAGACTACAAAATAGCATTGCTGAAATAGATTTGCTAAAAACTAATTACCCACCGAGATGTCTGAACCCCAAGTAATGAACGTAAACCAGCTGAAGCCATAAATTCTATTGACGAAGCTTCTGAAAGTTGATGACTTAATACAGCATTAGCAGTTCCACCACCTACATGTTCATCAACTGCTAAATTGCCGCCAATCACCGCAACGCTTCGTTTTGACAACTGAGACTGCATTTCACTAGTCATTGCCATTCTAATGCCCAAAAACATCACACATTAAAAACATATATCATCAAATAAAGTCAAAAGGATGAATATCTCAATACATGCATTGCAACAAGCAGCAATTATTTCACTGTTGGGAACACATTCCAAGCTTTATCCATAATTTCTTACATCAACATTCAAGCTCCAATACCATCAAAATCATTCCAACAAAAAGGTATATAATAGAGCACATTTTTGGCAATATTTATACACCTCAAACTTTTAAAAAAATAATAATAATAACAAAATGTTCCATTTTAAAATTGAAATAAAATGAACAAAGAGAAATACCCTTTGAAGAGGCCATCACCATCTAGATACTGTGGCAAAGATATTTTAGACATAATTGTACCGGAAGATTGAATCCGCGCCGCCCTCTTTTCCAGTTCCCTCATTCTCTTCAATCTATCCAATTCTGCTTTAATCTCTTCAGCTTTATCCAAACTCGGACCAAGTTCCAAACCAGATTTCAACCCTTCCATGCCATAGATATCATAAACTTGCCTTTTATTTGGATCTGACAAAATCTCATACGCTTCACATACTCGTTGAAAATTTTCCGTAGCAGCCTCTTTAAACTGATAGAGTAAAACAACGGCAGTGAAGAAATTGCAAAACGAAGTGGAAATAGCAGCATAATAGAGAGTTTAAGAATGCATACATTAGGAGATTGGTTCTTATCGGGGTGATAGAGTTGCGCCCATTGACGATATGCTCTGCGGATTTCTTCATCGGAAGCTTCGGGTGATAAATTCAATACTGCGTAGAGTTCTCTATTGTCATGTTCTTCGTTCGGTGCCGCCATTGCGATGGAAAATTTGGAGCTCGAGTGGTTGTTAGGGTTTTGCAGAGAATGGTGAGGGTTTAAGGGTGAAAGAACCTTTGCTTACGTCAGCAATGGTTCGAATCAAAACGAAACCTCGAAAGGGAATGGAATGGTTTATCCGAGTGGGTCTGAAAATATTGTGAAAAAAGTTACTAGTTAATTAAATTGCTTTTGGTTTCTCTTATGGCGTGGAGCGCAGTAAAGGGTTTTTTTGGCATGGGTTATGGACTTATGGGTAGTAAATATTCAGGGGGAGCAAAATTTTAGGGAGGGTGGAGCAAAATCCCTCGAAACACATTTTTTTGTTTCCTCTGAATTGGGGGGATTTAGAGGGGTGGGAAGGGAATATGAATTTTGATATTTAAAAATTATTATATTTACTAAAATATCTTCAGTTTAATTTTATTATTTCAAAACTATTTGTTATCTTTTATGTTACTGTTTTTTTTCGATAGTTTTCATCAATTTATTATAATTGTTCTTCACCTTCAAATTATTTTATAATTTTTATAATTAATAAAAATCATAATCATTATCTTTTTTTTATAAAAAAAATTATGTTTTGTTATATTCGTTTTTTTCTTTTAATTTTGTTATGTACTCTATCATATTTTCTTTTATATCAAATTGTAAACCATATCATTTTATTTATTTTTGTTTATTCATTTTATTAAATATTTTGAACCATTAATATTTAGTAATAAGTTATTTTATATATTTGTTTTGTTATATGATTCATCACAATTTAAACGATGTTATTGGTATATAGTTTAATTTATGTTGGAAAGTTATAAGTCGAATCGATTGTACTCAATTTTTTAACTTTAGTGACAAATAAATATTTTTTTAATCACTCAACATTAGAAATTTTATTACCAACAAAAATACGCACGAATTTTTCACATTTTAATATCATATGACTTATATAAGATCATAAGGATAAAAATGTAAATTATTAATAAAATCTCTCTCATCCCCTTCTGAACCAAACACATTTTTAATTAAAATTCCTCTCCTCCCCTCTCCTCCTCTCTTTCGAACCAAACACTTATTTGATTAAAAAATTCCTTCACCTCCCCTCCCCTTCATTAAAATCCCTCCCCCTCATTTGAACCAAACAGACCCTTAATCTCTAGACCTACTCTTCGATTGGATCTAAAGAAAACGAAGAGAAAGATAACGAGAGAAAAGAAAATAAAGTAAAAGTTATTTTAAATGTAAAATAAAACAAAGAGAAAGATAATGAGAGGAAAGAAAATAAGATAAAGGTATTTTGAAGGGCAAATTTAGATATGTATATAATAAAAATGAAAGAGAAACTCACCTTAGATTTATATTTATAGATGAGAAACACTTTGTTAAAGACACATTTAACAGGTACAGATATTTACACACATCAATGCTGAAAATAGGTTTGCATATCATTTCTTACCACCTTTTAGATACTCAAGGCAAACTAATCAACTGGCTCAACACGCTTGGAGCCGAAAATAAATACATGTCTTCATATGAAATAGGAATTCAACTATCCATCACTAACTAAGTACGTGATTATCATTCCCAAAGAAACCCTAGGCCAAAGTGCCTTTACAAATATCTCATCCCTGGTAGGTGAGAGGATGTATCGTAATACACACGATACACCTTTAATAGCAACAGTTTATCACCTCACGTGAGTTTGCTATCTAATCACCGTAAACACCATTAAACAAGAACTCTCGTCGCCCCAGGCAATCCCTAAACCATTAGAAAACTACTAAGGACTCTTGTCACCCCTACGAGCTTAAGAGTACTATCGTACCTCAAAAAATACGACACTTCACGAAGTGTATTGCACACTCGCGGAAAATAGTTCGAACAGAGTTGTAACGCCCATTTTAATTATCCAGTTTTCGGTGCTTTTGTGCTGTTTAATTTTTTTTTTGGCATGTCTGTGGGGGTGTATTCGGGCGCGGATGGGTGTAGGCCTTAAGTTTGAATTTGATCAAATAATATCGGACCTTAAGAATTATAATACTATTATTATTAACGATAAATGATAATCAATAAATAATAGTGATATTAGTAATATTGATATTATTACTATTATTATTATTATTATTAATATACTATTATTATGTTAGTAGAATTGGATTAAGATAATATGAGAAGTTAGTGAATAAGGGTAAGATTGGAAAGAGAAAAAAAAAAGGTATTGAGGGCATAAGTGGAATTGGGAGAAGTTGGGAAAAGAAAAGAAAAAGAGAACGCGTGAAGGAGAAGAGAGAAGAGGAATATGACCAAGAGTGGAGGAGAGCAGCTGAGCAATTGGAAGAAAAGGAGGCTAGGATTTCCGTTTGGGGCAAGGATTCAACATTCGGAACTAGAATTCGAGGTAAGGGGGGAGAAAGTGATCAAAGCGGGTAGATAGCATGAATGTTAGGTAGTGGGAATTTCCCCTAATCCCATGAATTTTGTTATGCATGTTGTCGTTGTTGTGATTCTGTTATCGATTCTGTTCATGTTGATTTCATTGCATGTTGTTGATGTTGAGTTGTTGGGAGAATTGGGGTTTCCGGGAAAACTGACATTGTTATGCCGGAACTGAGCAATTATCAGAACTGTGGTTGTTATCGGGTAGAAACTAGGATGGGTATTGTAGGTTGCTGCCTTATAACGTATCGTTATGGTCGGGGATTCGTTCGGATTTAATCGGGTGCAAGGGGAAGCGGTTTTGATTCTGAGCTGTAGAATGTTTCTGAAATCGCAGACATTCGTCGGGCGAGCGGAATAGCGAGGTTTCACCAGGTGAATGGTGGCGAGTGCTCGTAGCGAGGTATCGCCAGGCGAGTGTGCGAGCGAGAGACAGTGAATACTTACAGTAGCTACTGTCTGTCTTCGCTGGAGGGGTCGCCAGGCGAATGGTGGCGAGGTTTCGCTGCGAGGCTTCGCCAGGCGAATGAGCCAGCGAACATGACAGAATTCTGGGCATTTTGTGTTGTGCTGTTCCGTTCTTGTACCGTTAGACCTCTGTTGGTCGTAGGTGATTCTGAGAGTTAACAGGGCACTGATGTGTATATGTGTGAACACGGGAACGTGATTCCTCGTAGTATTCGTATAGTTGATTGAGTGTATGATAGGTATTATGTGTGCTAGTGATATGGTGTGGGATCCTTGAAATGTGGCATGTGATACCTGAGATATGTGATAGATGTGATATGTGGATTACGTGCAGCGTGTGTGCTAGTATTTGTTGTGGTGCATTGTGTTATGCATGGCATGTGAAGGGGTTAATCATACTGCTCGGTGGGGCGTATGAAATAAACTCAGGCTCCGAAAAGGAGTGGATGCAGGGGTTGATCATATTGCTCGGTGGGGCATATGAGATAGACTCGGGATTCCGTAAGGGAATGCGAAGGGGTTGATCATACTGCTCGGTGGGGCGTATGAAATAAACTCAGGCTCTGAAAAGGAGTGGATGCAGGGGTTGATCATACTGCTCGGTGGGGCATATGAGATATACTCAGTGGGATAGATCGTTGCCTAGGGTGGCTCGAGTGATCTATCTGGGTTTGATGATGAACTGTGAGTCGGTACCGCATTTCATGTGTCGAGTTGCATGTGTTGCATAGTCGTGTGTATGTTGCGATGGTGTGGGGCCGTAGGTCCGAGATGATGCGTGTGAATTATGTTGTGTGTTTACTGCCTTCGTATTCATGTTTACCGTTACCTTTATGTTTTGTTCGTAATTTCTCACCCCTTTGCCTTTGTTGTGGTCTGTGATTCTTCGGAAGTACAGAGATTTCAGGTGATAGCTAGTTTGTTCTGTGGCGAGTCGTAGGGATGCTCTGATACGTAACACCGGGGCTTTTGGGAGTTCTTTGTTATATGATGTTTCTGGTGCCCCTGTGGCGTATCTTGTTGATGATATGTTTTGGTGGGTCTTTTGATGTGTGGTTGTACATGATGTATGTTTTGGACAGATAGTCGACGTTGATGTACCTGACTTGTATATGATGTTGATCTATATATATATATATGATGATTTTCTGCTGCTTATATGTGGTTAAATTCTTTAATGAAAATGTTTCAATTGGTTTTCTTTTGTGACATCCCGTGTGTGATGTGAAACTCTGATGTTTGTCTATCTTGATTATTTTTTTTTAATTGCACTTATTTTATTTTTGGGAGCGGTGTGTTACAAGTTGGTATTAGAGCAGGTTGGTCCGTCCGGCCAGTGTAGTGTTTTGAGTATGTCTGTAGGATAGAGTTGGTTGTTTTCTGTTAACCTGAATTTTTGTTGTGAAGGAGTATGGCTGGGAGGAATGACGCGGCGTTGGTTGCGGCTATGCAAGTTATGGCGAAGGTGGTTGCTAATCAGAACCACGCTGCGGGTGCGCAGTTCAGAGACTTGGTGCAGTTTCAAAGCAACAAGTCGCCGACGTTCCAAGGAGGAATTTTTGATCTGGAAGCTGCTCAGAAGTGGTTGAAGGCGATAGAGAAGATCTTCAGAATGATGGGTTGCAACGATGAGCAGAAGGTGAGGTTCGGTACTCACATGTTAGAGGGCGAAGTTGAAGCTTGGTGGGACAACAGCCGCTAAAGGTTGGAGACTGCTGGGACTCCGATTACCTGGGATGTTGTTCGCACTGGATTTCTGGAGAAGTACTTCCCTGAAGATATCAGAAGTGCCAAGAAGATTGAGTTTCTGGAACTGAAGTAGGGAAATATGACGGTGGCGGAGTATGCCGCTAAGTTTGAGGAATTTGTACAGTATTGTCCCCACTACAATACTGATGGAGCGATGACCTCCAAATGTTTGAAGTTCGAAAATGGATTGCGTCTAGAAGTGAAGATGGGAATAGCTTGTCAGAAGATCAGGGATTATCCTGAGCTGATAAGCAGGAGACGGATTTATGACAATGATAATCGGGCAAGGATTGCGCATTACAAAGCTGCTAATGACCGTAAGGGTAAGCAAAGGTTCGGTGGGACTCCTT